TAGAGTAATTTACAACAGCTTCGAACGCGGCTCAGCCAATCAGAATCAAGGACCGGAACTCTCCGTTTAATAAAATAAGTAAAAAAATAATGCACAATAACAATGTTTTAGATTTGCTAACTGTAATAGTGTAAAATTTATATTCAAACTGAAAGCATAAATCTAGGCTATGTGCTGCCATTTCAAATGCAAAACTGTGACATTTCATTCATTCACTGACTCTTGGTTGCGCTAAAACCGATAAAACATGCTCACTTGCCGGCATCCCGCCAAAATAAAAGATTGCTGATGTAAGCATTAGTGTACTATAAAATAATTTTAATTTTATTTTAATACACACTTTTTATTTTAAAATATAATAGTATTATAACACTTTACTTATTATTTTGTTTATTATTATATAAAAAAAAAAGAATAAAAGTGCAATAATACTATTATTACTATTTTTAATGACTTTATTTTATATAGGTATATGTAGTAGGTCACACTATGTGCAGTGTAAGCACCAAACCAAATCTCCAGGTGCTCTCATGAGAACCAGACTGAAAAAAACCCTTAAAACTATTTTTATTTATTTATTTATTTTTAATAAAGCAATAAGCCCCAAGAAGCCGTGGTTTACAGTGAATTTATAACAGCTAAGGGGCGGTGTTAGGTACGACGTGAAGCGGAGTGACTAAAACCACCTTACCTGTTATAAATTCACTGTAAACCACGGCTTCACGGGGCTTATTGCTTTTATAAAACGGTTATTCCATATACGTAGTAAGGTTTCACAGAATAAAACAGAGCAAATAAAGTGTAATGATATTAATAAAAACAGTATTCTTCCACCAAACAATGTAGTTCCTCAGAATCAGTTGTGGTTCCAACAAAGTGGTTGCCAAGCAACACACAGAAGTAAACGATGGTGTATGTTTGTAGAGTAATTTACAACAGCTTCGAACGCGGCTCGACCAATCAGAATCAAGGACCGGAACTCTCCGTTTTATAATACAAATTTTAATTTGATGCACCCTTTTGGTGTTCCAACCCTGTATTAATTGATTTCTTCTGTGTAACATGAAGAATTTTAAAGAAATGTTTTGTTCGTACAGTAGAAGTCGAAGCTTACCACAAGTGATTGGTTACCAACAAAATATTGGTTCCGAATGTTTTTGAATGTTCCACAGAAGAAAGTAAGTCATTCAGGATTTGAACAACACCTGAAGAGATAAGTGAATCAACTCTTTTTATAGTCAAATACAGTATAAATTGTATGCAAACATACAGTGAACCTACGGTAATTACATACATTACAAAGCATTAGCAATATGTTGCAGTATACTAATACAGTAATTATGCAGTGCTTAAGTAGACTGGTATTTACTAAGCATTAAGGTGAAATGCATTAATGCATGAATAATAGATAAGACATGCTGTTTGGTCAGGGCGTTAATAACTGCTGTCTTTATTAAAGGGGTCATATGATGCTGCTAAAAAGAACATTATTTTGTGTATTTGGTGTAATGACTCTTATCCTGACATTTTTAATTAATCCAATCAAAGTTAATTCCAGGGCTTGTTTTCTCCGTCTCAGTTTCATCTCTGAACACTCACACTCATTCTAGAGAGCTTCATAAATTCACGTTTGCTGGGGCTGACGTCACACACTGTACAGAACAGTATCATAGCACACAGCTGTATAGAAACAGTATCATATGGACGTTTCTACCGTTCATTAAGTTTATGACAGCTTACGAATGTTTAATTGAAAAAGCTGTTAATGTGTCACGGCCTACTGACTGTATGAACCGCTTCAACCTTACAAGCCCTTGTGAAAAAGAAGTGCAATTAGTTTAATTGAAAGTGCACTTGTAGTGAACCTTAAAAGTACATTAAAAAAAAGTACTTTCAGATATTATAATATTAATGAAAAAAGGCCACTTAAGTGTTAAAGATGACTAACACACTTAAGTGCACTTTTGTAAATTTTGCTAATTAACTTTGTAGTAATGTCTAATTAAACGTTTTGCTTTAAAGTACATTGTTTTAATGATCTTTTGTCATTTTTTAAAGAAGTAGACTTATTTTGATGTGTTGACTAACATAATAAAGCCCTTGATTACTTTTAAATGTAATGAGTTATTCAATATTACATTTGATCTGTTTTCATCCTTACAGATGTGTAATTACAAATATATTTAAATACGTGACATACAAGGTTTAACAGAGATGACATTAAAGCATATTTGAGTTGATCATAAAGGCTTGTCAGTACATTCAGCAGTACTTTAACCATATTTGAAAGACAATAGAAGTAATTATGAAATTACACATAAAGATGTACTTGAGTCCTATGTAATGACTTTGATTACTTAATTTTAACTGTAGGGAATTAATTATTATTAATTCATTCAGGTTTATTTCTAGCTCAGGTTTTGAAAGAACTCGATCTGAGAATTCGAGGTCCACCTGATCAAAACTGATTCTGAATTTAAATGGTTTACACTCTATCAGCTACTCGGCCAGCGAGAAACAAGAGCCCCCATTTATTATGTGGAGAAATTAAGATTTGCAGGTTTTGTTAATACTCCTATATAGTGTCGTTCAACACATATTGTTTGAAATAACAGCTTTTCACTTATTTCACTATTCTGCAATCATCACGAGTTTCCGTTCGATACTAAACTTCCCCTATCTCACACATATATTAATAACCTCATTTCCTAAAAAGGGTAGTAAACACTGATTAAAGTTGCACCGATTAAATGAACACATCAAGCATATATATGTACGACATACAACATATTATTTGTGACTCTATGGTCCCATACTTTCCATGATTTCCAGTTTGTCTCAGAAATCTTGTGTGCAAGCTTGTGTCCCTTTTCATTGGAATGCAAAGGGGGAAAAGGGGAGGTGTCCGGAGGTCATCCTCGTGTCAGAGCATGAGAGTCTGCCAAGTTTCTCCTGGACAGAGAGAGTTCTTAATCTGCCACTTTCTGTTTATCAGATTTAGCAATTTATGTGTTAACGGTCCTGAGGTCCGGGAGTGTCTGTCACTGGAATTCTGTCTAGATACCAGGTTCTTTGTTCCGTGGTCCATTAGATGGTTTATTTATGCTGAAGCCAGTCACGAAACCTACTGACGTCCTGTTGCTTAAATGAATCCAGATGGGGTAGGGTCAGTTCTTGTTGTTTCTTGTAAAGATAAGCAGAGAGAGACAGGAACTGCTGAGACCCTGAGCTGACCCTGTACGTAGTTTTATGACTGCAGATGGCTGGGGAGAAGAACCTTTAGTTTTCCCGGTGGAATGTAGAGATTCAATGTTCGTTTGTGTCCGTTTATAGATTCAAGGGTTTCAATATCTTGAAGGCCGGAATCCTACACCTACCTACAGATGGGCCGTTAAATCACTCTAAAGTTCAGCAAATTGTGTTTAACAGAACATGAAATTATGATACATTTTCCATAAGAAGAACTCTTTTTAAAAGTATACTAAAGTCTGCTTCTCTGCTTCATTAGTTTTTTCACTATAGGGAGCGTTTTGATGTAGTGTTGTTTATTGATCAGATGAGCCAGTTCTCAATTTATAAATGTTTATAGTGTTTTAGAAGAGTTGAGCGTGTCAGAAATGCTCTGTTGTTTTAATGAAGCTGTTGTGATGGTGTTGTAGGACAGGCCGCTGTTCAAACACATCTTGTCCACGCTGGAGTCCATGTGGAACGACAGTCACTTACCTGAGGAGTGCAACACTTTCCTGCACAATAAAGCAGAGTGGAGGTACAGTAACTCACCAGTGATTACACAAATATCAATATCATATGCCTGCCATGTATTTTTTTTGCATTACTTCGTTGCACAAAAATGCACATTTTTATTTTCAAATTAATTTTTTAAAGAAAAAAATTGAATGGTATAATATCATATAAAATAATACTGTTAATTTCAATTCAATTTCAAACTACCATGCATGTGCCTTCACGCATTTTGTGCACTGGTGATCTAGAAAGGTCTGGGTGTTTGATGCTATATTAAGACTGGACGTGGGCCAGAATACAGGGACAAGAGGTTCCTGTCCCTCCCTACAGCTAAACAGAGAAACAGACAGAGCCACAGAAACAGCGAAAGATGAGACGAGACGTGATGTGTCGAAAAGGGGAACTGAGGACATGTGAATGGGAAATTTCAACAGCATCTGTCAGAAAAGAAACAGACAAGGAAATCAGTCACACAGGGAAGTTTGGAGTTGGAGTGGAGCAAGCAGGGGGTGGGGCTAAACGAGAGGGGCGGTTCTAATGGGAGGAGTTCCTTTTATAAATAACTGTAGTCTGGAGAGAATGTGCAGCTCCCTCTGGTGATGAAATACGATATTACAAATGAACAATGACTCAGGCTTGACTGGGCACACCTATAATTAAAGAAACGCCACTGGACGATTCTGCACTAAATGTTGCCGACCAGCTGAGAAAATGTCTTTCCTTTAGGAGCATTTATGCTGTCTAGAGAATAAAGACAATATTCAGCCATTATTCTTCCATAACATTTCAGAGCTTTGTTGTGAAATCAGCATAGAAAAATAACAATTTCTTCAAAACACCATGTAGCCATTTGTTAGAGCACTTGGAAACATATTTGAATAAAAAAATACATACTTGTGAGTAACAGTACAGACACCGTGTGTGTCTGAAATGGGACATTTGTATACAGGTTATGAGCATTATTAGACCCATTATTTTATGAGCATTATTAGAGCATTATTAATTTTTTTTGCCAGTTGTTGTAACATATTTGAACTCAAATTTCTTAATATTTTTTGTCTTTGAATAAGCGTTTTTTTTCTGTTGTTCTGGTCCCAAAGTCCAGTGAAATGAATAATTATATTGCTGAAATTCTTAGTCTAATCCAAAAGTGAGAGTGTTGTCAAAACAGAAAGCAATAAGTACTGTTAAAATGTTACAAAATAATTTATTATTTAAAGCAATGATAATCAACAGTTATCTCACATAACAGTTTTTTTCCCCTGATATTTTTGCCCTAAACGCCAGAGGAATTTTATGTTGTAAAATTGTCAATGTACTACAAAAGTGTGACTGTGGTTAAAAAATTGAAAGCAATAAAAAAAAAAAAAAATATATATATATATATACATCACCTAATCCTATATCTATTTATTTTAGTGCTGTCAAATCGATTATTCGCAATTAATTGCATCCATAATAATAGTTTGTGTTTACATAATAAGTGTTCTGTGTATATTCATATGGATAAATAAACATACACACATATGTATGTATATATTTACGTATGTATATATTTAAAAAAATATTTGTAATATATATTGATATTTATATATAATATAAATCATGTATAAATATAAATATATACATATGTGTGTGTGCTACATATAAATATACTCAGAACACACATATATATTATGTACAAACTATTATTTTGGATGTGATTAATTGA